TAATTTTTTATTCTTATAATTCACTGAAAAGAAATTAACTGGTATATCTCGCACAGAAAGAACAGATTATTTTACCTTGATCTGCACATTTAGCTGTAAGGAAAATTATTTTTGAAATGTGGAAAGTCTTCCCATTAACCATTATCATTGTTGTTGTTATGTGTCATTGAGTCACATGCGACTTATATCAACAGTATGACCTATGTACAATAACTTTAAACTCTCTCCTATCTTGAGCTAATATGTCCCTAACACACCTAATCTCATTAGCTCAGTTGCTATGTCAATCCATCTCATCTAAGATCTTCCTCTCTTGTGCTGTCCCTCCACCTTCCAAGCATGATGTCCTTCTCCAAGGACTAGTCCTTCCTATTAACATGTCCAAAGTGTGTGAGACGGAGCTTCAGAATCCTTCAAGAAGCAGCTTGGTTCCCCCCTCTCCAGGACAGACTTCTTTGTTCTACATTACTATTAACAGTGTTGTCCTCTTCCTTTCAACCAAAAATGCAGGCAGTAGGTTAAGTCATAGTTGTTGGCATTACTGATAGATATTTTCAAAGTAACTTTTAGTTGAATGACTAGTGTGTAGACATTAGAAAAACCACTAAAAATTATTTTCCTTTGAGAGGTTAGTAGGAGATTTTAGGGTTTTGTGGGTTTGAAATACAGTCCTTACACTCATGTAAAAGGCGTCTTCTCCCCTCCTTATTTTTATCCTTTGGTTAAATAACAGTTTCTAGATGTACATGTGTTGTAAACCCGGCTTGCCACTTACCAGTCCTCCTTGATCTACCTTAAAGAGTTCTAGATGCAAGGAAATATTACAGTTCTGGTGCTAACTCGAAGGCACACGGTTTGAATTTACCAGCTGCTCCATGGAGAAAGATTGACACTCCTCTCCCATGCAATTTACTGCCTATGAAAACTCACTGGAGTGTCAGCTATTAGTTGGTCCCAACTTGAGGTTACGCAACAACAACAACAGTGCACAATAAGATACTGATAAGGCAGCCAGTAAAGGGTGTCTAAGCAAACTACTGATAGAGTGTAAGATTGCTAGGGAAATTTGAGGAGGCAATGTATGATATATTTGTCTTAACATAAACCAATTTGAGAAGTAAGGGAACAGAGGTGTTTATACGCCAACTCCTATTATTGGTTGAAGGCTACTCCTGGGAGTGTTAATTCTCTAGCACATCTAGTCTGCCACTGTGGGACAAACCAGACTCCACTAACACAAAGACAGCCTCAGTCAAAGAAGTGGAGGTGCTGGAAATGGAAAGTCAGTTCAGCCCTGTGTATACTGAACTGTTAAGTGTGTGGTTTGTGGGTAGATCACGAGCATGTACAGTCTTTTTAAATTATGGCACCTCACATCTAGCTGGTGGTAAGATCTTGAGTGCTAGCCTTGCTTTTCTTTTCTCCTGGGGAATAAAATTTAGTTACTTTCCTCAAGAGATGCAGATGGGGAAATGAACAGATGCTGAAATGAGCATGTTTTGATCCTCCAAGATAGTAGAAAGGGAAGGAACATGGTTCCTTACTTTATTTCAGGAATCATACCACAGGAAACCTGCAAATATTTTGAAAACTACAGATCTCAGAAACTATTAGAGAAAAATATTATAATTTTCCAAAATAAGCCGCCACATAATTCCTTATATTTTATATGTAACTATGTAAGTAAGTCAATTATTTGTTCACATCCCAAAGAAAGGTGACCCAACAGAGTGTGGAAACTATAGAACAATATCATTGATTTCACATGCAAGCAAGATTCTACTGAAGATTATCCAAAAATGACTGGAACACCAC